TAGCCACCTTCATGATTTAACGCCGAACGTGGTTCCGCTTGCATGCATCCGGTTCTCGATTCCCAGCCCTACGAACGATTAAAAATCAGTTTTTCTTAGTGAAGACGAGCATTTGAAAGGAAGAAATATTTCTTACCAAAGTCGTGATCGCTTTCGCTAAACGGGCTGAGAGTTTGAGTAGACGTAAACGTCGATGCTTGAGACTTGGCTCTCTTACTACTTTTCGAACAGACGAAGAATGTGCTTAGAAGTGCGCCGATTTCCACGAAAATCACCGCAAGGCCGATCGTGAGCAGTATCAGTGCTTGCTCTTGGGTCCATTTCTCTAACATCTCTAAGCATCCCTGTAGAAACAATATTGTGATATTAATTAATTATGACAATATTATGATAGTTAAAATCTACACGATCGTGTTTCTATCTAAACAGAAATCAATATTAATTTCGACAAAAATATCTTTCAAACAATTGCCAGAGAGGAAAATTTGAAATCCGGCACAACGACGAGTTTGACTATTAAATGTTAAAAAATATATAAAATATAAAAGGAATAAATAGATAACAGATGAAACATAAATATTGGGGATAAATGTATAATGTGCAAATATAGATCGAGACGAGTTTATTAGTAAATTAAAATGTACGGTCTTTCACACAGGTGTTCCTTTATAACTGGTCTACATACGGAGATAATGTCATCATATACGTTGTAGCGTTAACATACTATGACATTTCAATCTGTATTCAGTTTCTGTGCAGCCGCGCGATATTTAATACGCGACGCGGGCGAAAGATAAGGAAACTTTCTCGCATAATGCGTCAACTTCGCTTTTTCCATCGAGTTTTACCGACGGACGCGTCCGTTTCCAGATACGATACAGATTGAACGATACATCAACACCGCGCTTTTACGCAACCCGCATCCGACTGAATTTCCCTTAGGCTGTGACATTTGCATGCGGGTCATTATTGAACGTGTGCGTGTGCGTGTGCGACAAAGAGAATCGGCGCTCCTTTTCATTTCACCTCGTCATCCTCTGTTCGTCGAAGCGACAAAGTTATCGTGAAAATTTGCAGAGAAAATAATAACGGTTACAGTGCGACTCTGTATAACAGAAGTGTATTCAAAATTTCGTTCGTTTTCTTTTTTTTTTTTTTTTTTTTTTTTTTTTTTTTTAATTGAAAACAAAGATAAATATCTGAGGTATAATTGGTCAATCAAACGAGTAAAATAGATGAAAAATATCGATCGATTTCTTAGAATTGTTCAAATCAATTATCACTAAGATAGCTGACGTTTCCAATTCACATGTTGCAAATAAGTGAATTATTTAACATAATTAATCATCTCTAAGATACAGTCTCATCCGCAAACATGTTGACAAAGCATTCATCACCCCTCGTGCCCTTCCTCTCACCGACCGACAACTTCTAGCAGTTACAATTACAATTCCACATTATCATATCAATGAACCTGTCCACGCTGTTCACGCCCGATTCCATTCGCATGATCAACAACATCCTGATTAACAACAACACGTACGTACTGTGGTATGGCGGGCGTATTGATGTTCGGCAGGATTCAAAGCCTGGCAGAGAGTAAGATTGGCAGGCTCGGGGTTGAGGAAAGAGTCGGTCTGGTTTACGTTGTTCAGGGTGCAGCAGCTGAGAGGCACCACTAATTCTCGTCGGCCGACTTCCTGCAGTCGCCACCAGGAGGTTCCGTAATTGCTGCTTCCGTTTATGCCGCAGCAAGCAAACTGAAAAGATCCGCGCGGTTTCACATCGAGAGGTGTGTAACGTGTAATTGCCTTTTGCCAGTGTCGATCGATCGAACGATAATGAGTTTCGGCGAATCGGAGCAAACACTCGTGAGTTTGAATCGATCGACGATCGTGTGTACCGAGGGGCTGTCTTTGTTGACTCGTTACGAAACGCTCCGCTTACGGGAATAGTTTGAAATTTCATTAACACTGCAATAAGACTTGATTATCGTGCGCAAGCGAGCTGAATTTATTCCCTTCATTAACCTATCCATTTCAGTAGTTTAACACTAAACGTACCGGCATTTTACATATACCTATCTTATATCTTACCATAAGGGGTCAAAATGACCCCTCGCGGTACATAAGGTATGCAAAGAATTTTTCTCGGTAAAAAAAATAAGCTAAGAGAAAATTACAAAAAGTCTGATTACCGAAAGAAATAACAACGAATGTACGATTTTTAAGTAAATTTTGAAAAGGGGCCATTTGGCCCCGCTTAGTACGTTTAGTTGTCAACAGAAGAAATTGTATGTAAAACAGACAAGTGTTTAATACAAATATATTCAATACATTCAGACTTTGACAATGACGGGCCACTGTCTATTTCGATATTTCGAATGAGAAATCTTGCTTCTTCAAAGAAGAAAGATATTGTAAAGGAATTGCATAAATAACTGTAAATTTCAAGTACTCTCGTGATCAATTGTACACAGAAACGTACCGCTGTTTGTGCGAGATCAAGGGCTGCTGTGAATTGTTCTCGACCAGGAACGGCATAGCTACGTTGCAAGGCTCGTATCAATCGTGCTGGTCTGACATCGATGCCGAGCACATGAGGCCAGAACACTATCAGAACGCACACAGTGCATTCGCCAAGTAACAGCAGAATTATCGTGATGAGATACTGTAAAAGTACGAAGTGAAAATGTAATGAGCGAAGTAATTAAGAAACAAAAGCACAGAGTGAAGAGTACCACCGAAAAAAGAAAAAATAATGAATGAAATAATTACGAGACAGTATCTGAGTGATTTACTCGTTATTGAATGTTTAACGTTTGAATCATTCAGTTGTATTTTTGCGGTGGACGGAACGATGAATAATTATTATCATTCCGCGTTACCACGTGCTACAAATGTTTACATACCATATGAAGTTAATTGACTGGTCGTAATAATGTGTTATATCTGTTATTAGATTAACTGTTATAATTCATCATAATTGTTGAATCATCGGGTTAATTATGCGGCACATCGTATGAGAAAGTAATTTAATGAAATTATAATATCGTAACTTTTGGAAAGTATATGCTTATTTACCTCAATTTGAAAGCAAATGCTCTTTTAACCGTTTGCAACGGTACAGTTACTTGATAAATTGCTGTAATGCATTTCACCTACTTTAATTCTTCAGAGAGGAAAAGGAAATGTGAAGAACGCTGATACGTAACATATTTATAGTATTTGTTAATTTGATTCGCCGGTATTAAATAATCATAAACTTTATACTTGTTCGACGTATGAAAATTCAAATTCAAATTCGTAATCGCGATCGTATGGGATCATATAAACTCGCAGTTATATGAAAATCCTCCGACGTAAATTATTAAAAACTAGAAATTTGCAAGTCAAGTTTAAAAAGAAAATAGGTATTGTTAAAAATAATAATAGACAGGTATTTATATGTATCTCTCATCAGCGCTGTTCACAAGCGAAACGCAAGGAGGATAGCTCGTTCGTTGACTTAGACGGTCACACCTTTTACTTGCATCTTGCAAACAGACTGTTACTAATAATCAACTGGATCTCCGCGCATTCACACCGAATGTCCATAACTTTTACACTCTTCACTTATCTGAATTTTTCATTCCGACCATGAACATTCAGTACGATCGTATTGAATTACCACTCGTCTAATAAGCTACATGCTGAAAAATAATTGCTGTTTTTAAACTCGCCCTCCTTCCGTGAGCACGCGTGTCTGGATTTATGTAGATCCGTTTCCGGGCAGCGGCGCGTGACCATAGCCCACCAAAGCGGGAAATCTGGTTTCAGTTTAGTCTGCCGAGCGAACTCCGCAACGAAGAAGGCGCGTGAATCGTCCAGACTCTAGAGCCTAGACCTTGACTTTTACGCGATTGAAATGCGTGGCTGCTTTAGAAGCGTGTTCAGAGGCTGCAACGCGGCATAATATCAAATAGCCAATAGCAACTGCAGAAACACCTGTACACATCGTTTCGCTCGAAATTTTTTCAACGATTTCTCTGCGAATTTCATTCTGTTACAGACACATATTGAAATGTTTAAAATTTCTAGAAACACCGTAGCTAATCGTTTGACGTTTAAACATTTAATGACGTGAATGACGCTTGAAAGTTATTAGAAGTACCGTAGCGTAGAAAAGAAAAAAAAAATTGTTGAATTCTTACTGAAACTGTCACGCATCGATTATAGAGGCAAGTTGCCCAGCATCCTAGCAGACCCGTGAGCGTGATCAGAAATCCGAGTCCAACGACTGCAAATGCCATGTAATAAAAAAGTGGTTGATCGGGGTGTATGTCTCCTGGTCCCAATAAACGCGACAATAGGATACGCTCGTCATCGGCTAATAACAACGCTCCTAATGACATCAACGTGAAACCTGTTATCTGGAAATGAAAGCGACATCTTTAAAACAGATAATAATTCTTAACTCGAAAAATTCCCGTTTATCCTTTACGATGGAAGGAAAGAAATTACTGCTTTATTTGTCTTACAATAGCAATCCAAGAAAACTTTTTGAACTTTTCATCAGGCTTTCCACAACTCACCAGGAAAACGACGTTCGAGCAACACACGAAAATTCGCGATACACCAAAGTTTTTCCTTTCCATTTTAATTCGCTAAATCTTTCTCTGCGTTAACGCGTACGGAACAACGGGTGACAACTCGTCACATCAATCCCTCACGATGACACTCCATCAATAGTCACGATAAATAAGAAATTCATTTCAATTATTCTTCTTCCGACGATCGTATCACTGATGATTTCGTCCCCTTTTCTTTTTTTCTCTTTATCTGTTTCGACGCGTACTTGCCCGCGTTAACTCGAAGACTGAAAAGCCGCCGCGTGATAGATGGTTCCACAGTGCCGTACGAATACTGGCATCTGTAGATGCGCTTGCGTTACGCGCCCTCATGCGCGACCGACCGGATGGAACCGGAAGGAAATAGAAAGGAATGAAACAAAAAAAAAAAAAAGAAAAAAAGATACGCAGGAGGGGGTGAAATGTCCATATGCATGTAGTTATGTGATTGTTATAGATATAACTGGTGTGTGTCCAACTTCACACAGGGGGAGCTACCGCTAATCGGTGTAATCGTCACGGATGAGTAATACTCGACTTGCTTATTTCCGTTCACGTTCGTGAAAATTGCATTGGTACGTTAGGTTCGTGGAACATGAAACCTGAGAATACAAAAATTAGATTGATAATATTTAACTACGACAATTCGTGAATAATAGTAACTGGGATTCGTTATTTTATTCATTTTATTAAAAAAAAGTGAATCAAAAAATTAAATATTTTTGCTGTAATTGAATCACCATTTAATCACGAAATAAATTTTTAAAGAAATCATTTTTTTAGGTGATTGTTATTAAAAGTTGTAATATTAATTTTTTTTAATATTTATAGTAAAAGTTACTTATATGATACCATGGAGTAAATAAACGCGTTATGCGTATTATTGTGTGTTCACGAAGCCTATCTCCTCTCGTCTACATTAATTCACACGGCGTTCTATGCACTTTTAATTCAAATATCACGTTTTACGTTCGTATGTGGGTTATTTATGGCTAACTTTTATAAGCGAGAAAATTATTTTTATGGGTAAGCATAAAAATAATTAGATTTCAATATTACTTAAAAAATATATTGTTTATACAAGCATTATATTTGTTTAAAAATCTAACAAGTTCTTATCTGGTACACTACAACATCCAAATTGAGGTGCCGTCTCATCTTGTTCTCTTTGAATAGTATCGCTTAATTCAGGTGGTAGATGTAAAACCTAAAGTACAAACATACGCATATTCAATCAAATTTCAATATAATTCAAATTAATTTAATAACTTATAGAAAAATTGTTTACCTCAATAACAAATTTCTTGCGACGTAATTTGAACACAAGATCTCGTGATTCTGGATTATGAGGTGCTACAGTATTTAAAGCTAGCATCTTCCGAAGATGCAGTAAACCATGATAATCTTTAAATAATGGATTTATTTGTTTCTGTGAGCCTGCAAATGATTCCAGTCTAACTGCGACATCTGATATGTGCTCAATTCGTTGTGCAATAACATTCTAAAAATTAGTAATAAAGAAATTTACGTGAAGAAATTTAAAGAACAAAGTGCATAAATATGAAACATACTGAATTATCAAAACATTGTGTAGGTACTGTTATCACTCCAACTGCATAAGAATATCTTAAAAGTGCTCTAAAGTAATATAAAAATTTTAACAAATCTTGGCACGAATTATCTTCAGAATCACTGCACCATAATCTAGATCCTAAGCAGTGGATTGCGATTCTTAGAACTTGTCTTTTTATAGGTGTCTCTGAAATCGAATATTGTCCCTTCTTCAGAGTTTCTTGGATACATTTTAATAAATTTGAATATGTCGCATTGTTGAAGGAATTGTTTTTTTCTGGACAATTATCGTCATACCACTGCGTTATATTTGCCTTTTCAATTACTTCTTTTTCTATTTTTCTTGTAAGATCATAGAAATGACCAAACGCTTGTCCTCCAGTTGGAGAAGTATCAATTACTTTCATATTTTGATACCTCCAAGCAATTTTCATTTGTTCATCAGAATTGGACGGTTGATTAATTGATGTTGGGTCTGTTATAACAGCTGGTATATCTGACACGAGTTGTGATGTTTTAACATCTTTAGATCCAATTAATAATGGTTGAGCTGTAGTTACGCCTTCAGCCATAAAATATTGTAACATAATTTTTGCATATGTACCATATTGATCTTCCTCTGAAAATTAAAATCATTTTAATAAGTATCTAAATAAATTTAGCATATTTATTACATACCAATAAGAAACAAAGAGCCAACAGGTAACCCGCCACCTATAATATGAATGAATTGAAATACAATAATGTAAAAGAGGACAAAAATTATTTCACTGCAATATAACTCTACCTAACCTAATATATGATCTAAAGAAGGAATTCCAGTTGAAATAAGTAATTGTGAATTTTTTATTGAGGGTTTAGTTCCTGGTATAAAGGGAATTCTATTACCCTTTGCTGTACTTAAATCCATTTTTTAAATCGCTGTTTACGATATATTTTGATTCACGTGTAATGACACTCCTTGTTTACATTTAGAGGTTATATTAATACATATAGGTTAAATTTTATATATTATTAAAATATAATACATGACATTTATAAAATAATAAAATTATCGAAACATATACAATTATATTATAAAAATCTAAAAATTTGTAACAATTGATTATTTATCAATCGAAAGAGAAATTTTTATTTCGGCAAATAGACGGAAGATGGCAACACATGCAGCTGGTTTACAGTCGATAGCTGACGCCTTTCATAGTTTGTAATTCTTCGGCTAGGAAGCCGAATATTTTCAATATAATTCATTACGTTTATCATACATAGCTTTTTCCGTAAAAAGTAGATTGTTTTTGTTTAAATTATACTACTTGCTCCTTCAATTTACAACTTCATTAAAAATTTTGGAAGCATTTATATAATGTGTATAATTGTTTAATCGTACGTTATAAAATCGATTTGTTATAAAATGCTTACAACAAACTAAAGTCCATTTTGATCTTTAATACATTCAAAAAATATTGCGTAAATATCAGAGACATTCTCAAATTGTATAAAATAATTTTCAGGAGTTATGCATCACTTTTCGAAAAGACTCAACAGACTACGGAAACGCGTCCCTGCGTTAAAGATAGGGGGAGCCCATAGAAGGGAAATGAAATACGTAAGCGCAGGTGGAAGAGAGAGGGACGTAGTCTACGAAGAAGATAGAAGAGGAGCAAAGGGAACGCGTGAGTAACCCGTCTCGTACACGTTAGATTCAAAGCTGTGGCACAGGCAGTTGTGCACAAGCACGGTATAGAGGTATCCGACCAACAGTGAAGAACCCCTCCCTGTTACTATATCTCTCGTCTTTCTCTCCCACTGGTATATTCGACCGTCCTTCTTGCTCCTACTTCTCCTACCATTTCCCCTTCCAACGACGTGTTTTCTTTTTTCAGCGTACTCGTGCAAACCTATCGATCTTTCACTCGCTCCCCCGGTCGTCTCTTTTCTTTCCACGAACAGGCCCGAGCACGCTGCCCTCGCTCAACTACCTGTTGTGACGACCAACGTGCACTCGGCGACGCACCGGGACAATCGAGAGATTCAGCGCACGCGGCATGCGCTGCTGTTTTCCGTGTATACCGTGTATACCTTTCCTCACGGTCGGTAGGACGCTCGTGCATCGGCCACTGTACGCAAGGAAGTCTTTCTGTTGGTAAAGCGTGTGCCCGATCTGCAAACCGAAGCTGATATTAACTCGCGAAAGACTCGTCGCGCACTTTTACCACGATCTTGCTTCCCGTCTCTCGCGTAGAAGCGCGACTCGCGACGCGACGCAGCACCACGAACGAGAGCAAGAAAGACGGAGAAAGGGAAACAGAGGAAGAACATTATAGAGAGGCTCTTATTTAGAAGTTGTAGTTAGACTTTGACGACTAAAGAGGGCATTGGAAACATATTTCTGAATGTATACAAGAGACAATACATATTGATTTTCCTATTGCTTCGTACGTCGACTCTTATTATCACTTTGATAAATTGTAACTGTTTCTTTTTCTGTTAATTTATATATTTTTTAGTGAACACAGGGTAATTTGTATCCTATTTGTCTCGTTTTTTTTTTTTTTTT